AACCGCAGTCGACAACGTGGGAGTTCAGCGACATAGCCATTACGCTAATTGCGGTCCCATACCACCTAGATCTTTACATTCAATAAATAGTTCATCACTCATCAATGGCGATGAGTCTTACTGAACAGATAGTTCTAAATATTTAGTTTTTTTTTTTCCTACAACTCCTTTTTTTTTTTTTAAGTTTGCCAGAGAATGCATGCTAAACAGATAGTTCTAAATATTTAGGTTTTTTTTTTCTTACAACTCTTTTTTTTTTTTAAGTTTGCCAGAGAATGCATGTTCTCACCTGACACACACACACACACACATACCCACATGAGAAAGCACCTCTCCATGGGGAATGGTTGCAGCATAATTCCTTCTCCTCCATTTCTCCATCCTGTTTGGGAATTTTTTTTTTGGACACTTGTGTGACATGTTTCCCAAGTCTCGGGGATGTGGGACTCGAATTGTGGAGTTAGCCATGTGGGATCTGAATCTCTTAACTACCAGGCCATGGAGCTGTCCCTTTTTTCTACAACTCTATCACAATGTTATGATTTAGAGATAGGCAAACTTTGGCCCCTGAATGAGATCTAACTCACCACCTGTATGTGTATGACTCACCAAATAAGACTTTTCTACATTTTAAAAGGCTTTTAAATAAATACTTAAACAATAGATTGATTTTGCCTCTTGGCCAAAAAATTTAAAATATTTACTATCTATCACTTTGCAGAAAAAATTTCTGACTTCTGTTTTAATGAAGTATAGTTATTTTCTTATAAACCTGTGTTAAGTTCACATTAAGATTTGGTCTTGACTTAATGCAGTTTGAAAATATTTTAGGGGAGGAATAAATGAAAGATAAAAAACATGTAATATTCCTGGGTTCTTAGAGTCTAAATATGGGACAGCTGCAGGTTTGCTGCCTATGTCTTCACTCTGTGTATGTCCCATGCAGGCTAACTTGGTGGTGCAGGAGAATCGCTATGTCCTGGCCATGCAGGATCTGCAGAAGGCCCAGGCCGAGCTGGACGACAAGCAAGCAGAGCTTGATGTGGTACAGGCCGAGTATGAACAGGCCATGACGGAAAAGCAGGTAACTGTTCTTTGGCATGGGAGGGATTGTCATATACCTACACAACTATTTTAAGGTCTCATTCCTTTTCTACTTTCTGTAATAAGATTGCGGTTTCCCATAAAAATTCACTGAATTTGTATATACGATGTAGCACATCATCCCTCATGGAGCCCTGGACTTTTTTAAACAGACATGTAGGGTCTTGTGTGACCTGTCAGGATTGTAGGTCAAGGTAGCTGTCAGTTCTGGAACGTACCAGTTCTGAGTTTCCTTATTAATGGTGAGGGGGTGGTAGCAGCATCTCGTGTAGCATGTTTTTGTTAGGTTTTAAAAATCATGTCCTCCTACTTAATTTCAGTCTGTGAAGCAATTTTTCAAGGTAGGCAGGGTGGATATTTTTATTCCCATTTTAGAGAAAAGAACTGAGGTCCAGAGAGGATAAGAAAATGGATCCTGGCCGTAAGGATGCTCAGTAGCAGCACAGTCTGGAGCACATGCTGGCCTTCTGACAGTCCCTTCAGACCTCTCTTGGGTTAATGAACTTAGCTGTATGGCTGTACCCCAATGATCGGCACCGTTCGTAGCCTCCTGAATCTGTGCAAATTCTGTAGTTTTTACACTTTTCTGAATTTAGGTACATGCGTTTCCTGTCTACTAGCTCTTCATTTTATCTGTATTCATTCTGGTTCCATGGGGACTCCTTCTTCTGGTCATTAAAACAGATTTAACAAGGTATTTTAAGCTTCAGGCTTCCTCATTTGCACCGATTCCCAAGCGTGCTGGGGTTTCTGGGAGTTGTAGAGTTGGAGAAGGAGGCCAGACACTGATCTGCAAGTATTTATTTGCATATTCATATTCAGGCAAAGGCCTAAAAGGCACCTGAGTGTGATTCTCCTCCCCTCCTTTATTCTAAATACATCACTCACTTTAGTGTTTTATATTTGTAAAAATTCACTGATAATTTTTTTAAAGTGGTCTCTATAGGTTATGTAAGCTTTGGCCCCACAGAATCTGTATGTGCTTCTGATAAATCTCCTGTTTTGTAAATAACCTTTAGGTTCACTCTTCCTTGATGACAAATGCACCCTCGCCCCATCTAAGCCTTCACAGATAAAGATTCCTACCCTATTAGTGTCATAGGAGTTCCAATAAGGGGTCTTAGGTAGATTATCAGTTTCGCTGTGGGAGAATATATATTTTCTATTAAATATATATCTTCTGATAGCAGAATAAGTGCTTTTTAGAAGTTTTAAGGAAGGGAACAGCAGATGGCATAATGGTTACATCAGTGGATTCTCATGTAGTTGACTGCAATTTGAGTACCGGAGCCAGTGGCTTCAAAATCACGCCAGGTGCATGTGTGTGCATGTGTGCATGCCAAAGATCCCAAGAGGAGAATGGAGAAGGGATTGTGGCATGGTCATCCCCCTGGGGGGTGATTTCTCACTTTCTTTCTCTTCCTCTCTCTGGTGAGCGTGTGTATTCTACAGCAAAAATCTCTCTCAAAAAAAAAGTTTTAAGGAAGTAATTGTATAGCCTCTATATGTGGGTTTGTGTGCTTATGTCTCATAGAGCTTACTTCCATAATGAGAAGATTAATGTTTCAGTTTGAAAGAGTCTACTTTAGACACTATGAAGAAGGGGGTGTCAACAGGAGGCATGAGTTGAGGCATTGAACTCTCACATGACTGATCATGGTTCGAGTTCCAGACCCAGTGGCTTGCTTTCTCACTATCACTCTCCCTTTCTCTCTGTCTCTCTTTGGTCAAATAAAATAAAATAATAATAATGATAAATAAAATTAAATAAATAATTTAAAAAAAGAAACTATGAGGAAGGAGTGTGAATTCTGCCATTTGAAACACTCACTCATGTCAGGAAGTACTACTGAAGGCAATAAAAATATTTTTTAATTTTTTTTTTTTTTTTTTTTTTAGAGGCTTTTTCTACA